AACATATCAGTTGCAGCATAAATCCACCCCTTGTTAGATATATTGTATTAACAAACATTTATATAAATACAACCCATGATTTATATAACGGACTACGCAGTGAGATCATAAATGGAGTAGTCACAATGAAAACATAGAATCGGGTATAATGCGTAGTAACGTGGAAAGAAAGTTTTACTTTGTTAGAACTTGTGGTGGATGCCGTCAATTGTGGATGGTGTACTAGCAATATGGTGCTAAGTAAACAAACAGTTAGGAAAAAAATATTTCATGTCATAGTTATTAGACTCGACTTGAATATCGATCGGGACAAGGTATTGGGCATTGGGTTACTGGTCGAACTGGCATGTCAGTGGTCGAACCAGTGAGTCATTGCATAAAATCTACAAAAAAATATATAAAGTATAATTTTTTTTAGGGTCAAAATTAAAACATTTAATTTATTTTTCAATAATTATTGAAGTCTATAAAATAAAGTAAAATATTAAACTAAAGTTTTTCAAAAGAATATTTTTTAAAAATTTATAAATGATTCATTAGATAAATATAAGTTATTGCACATAAGTAATATTAAAGCACCATGTGTTCAAGTGGTAAGGAACTCATTATTTTCCTTAGAGGCCCACAGTTCAATTCCGTTGGACCTAAAAATTTTGCAAGAGGATTTCAAAACCCAATAAAATCCGTCAATCGGGCTCATTAAATCTCCGGTTAACTCGGTCAAAATCAAACTTTGATCGAGTCGAGTATATTTCTATCAAATTAATCTACACAGCCTAATCAAGGATCTGGGCCAGACAGAATTTTATAACTATGCTTCCTGCTCTAAATGAAAAGTTTGGATGTCAAAAGAACTATGTTATGTACCAAAGTCGATTGAGTTGGTTTGAGCAACAATATCACAAATACTCAGAGCTTATGCTATACAGCTCTAGTTTTAGATAGGACCCAACCATAAAAAAGTACACCGCTGGTGAGTAGCGATGTCAAAAAGGCTCGACCCTCGGGTGGCCCGGAAAAAGTTCGGGTTGAGCCGCATTTTGGGGAGTCGGCTCGAGCCCGTGGCTCGTCTGAGCCGAGTTTTTTTTTTAAAAAAATTGAAAATTAAGTTGCAGGCAGCTGTGACAGTTAACGCGGACAGCTTTTATTTATTTATTTTAGATGTATTTTTTAATCGCATGTAGCTTTTTTAAAAAAAAAAAATTTAAGTTTAGATGTATTTTTTAATATATTAATATTTAGTTATTATTTATAATACGTATAAATTGCACAATTTTAAATACATTATAAAAAATTATAGATTTATAACGAATTTGAAAAAAAAAATAAGAAACACGAGCCGGCTCGGCTTGACCCGCGAAAGCTCGGGCCGAGCCTCTTTTTTTGGTCGAGCTTTTGCTCAACTTGGTTTAGGCCCAAAAAAGCTCGGAACTATTTTGCTTTGCTCGGCTCGGACTGGGGCTCGAGCTTTGAGTTTTGGCTCATGGCTCTGCTCGACTCATTGACATGACTACTGTTGAGTTACTTAGAGGTGAGTTTTTAATTCGATTACATTATAATTCTTTAATACTAAATGATGACTTCTAATTTTTTACTATATTTGTTCTTTGATAGTTCTATCCAAAATAGAGCACCTCCGTGCCGTTGTGACGAACTTTTTATTGAACCGGATAGTGAATATTCATCTACATCTACATCATTATCAGTAATTGAAAAGTATGAAGACGTATTTGAAACTCAAGAGCCACAAAGAAACAATGCAAATGAATGAAAAACTAACGTATCTTCAAATACGTGGACAAATGTCGTGAACAATATGAATGAAGAGTACTAAAAATTAAATTTTTCTTAGACAAGTTTATGATTTTTTTTCCCTTTTAAATGACAAATTTATGAATTTCTTTTAATAAACATACTTTGATTTTTTGTTTTAGTATCAAACAACTTGAATTGTTGGCATCCGATTTCTCATCACCTTACAAATAAACATGCTTCCACGAGAGATGGGGTTGATAAAAGTGATATTTCAAAAGCAATAAAGATCAAGTGCAGACAAATGGACTTAGATTAACAATTAGAATTTGCAATGTACAAGTAATTTAATCATTGATTTCGAAAGGAGATTTGTCATAAACATTCTCGATTTTTGGTATGTTAACTCAATATATTGGGATAGTATGGATTGACCAAATAATATAGATAACACAGCACCAAAACCATGTTTTTTTTTATAAGTTTAGATGAATTTTTTTATATATTAATATTTAGTTATTATTTATAATATGTATAAATTGCACAAAATTTAAATACATTATAAAAAATTATAGATTTATAACGATTAAAAAAAAAAAAAAAAAAACCAACCGTCTCGGCCCGCTAAGCTCAAGCCGAAAGCTCGGGC